AATTATATAAAAATTATCCACAGTTTAGTTATCTTTGGGAGGGAGCAGGCCTATCTTAATTCTCTGGAAAAAAATGTGCGAATATGTGTAAATTTGGATATCATTCTCTGGTCAAGTGATCCCACCAGAAATGTACTGAGTATGTGGAAGACACATACACGAAAGAGACAATAAAAAAATTTAAAAATCTGATGTTTTCTGTAGAGTGATCCTGAAGAATTTGATAGATTTATCTTTTAGACTTAAAAGTGTTATTTTAAAATTGGAATTGGGAAAAAAAATAAAAAAATAAAAAATAAAAAATAAAATTGGAATTGGCAGAGCACAGATTGGAACTCTCCTAATGATATTACCTCATTCATTATAACACTTTTTCCTCTAAAAATGAGTTTGAGACACATTCAGTACATTTTGTTCTGGTCCAATTTTTATTGTATTCAAAAGCTTTTACTATTAAAAGGTGGTTTTTTTTTTTGTTGTTTTTTTGTTTTTAAGTAGACTCCACAACCAGCATGGAGCCCAATGCAGGGCTTAAATTTATGACCCTGAGATCAAGACCTGAGCCAAGATCAAGAGTCAAATGCTTAACTGAGCCACCCAGGCACCCTGTATTAAAAGACTTTTTGAAAACAGCTTTGTCTGTTGTAATTATGTAACTAATCAAATGATGTTTAGGCTTTTCTGACCAAATTCCCTTAATTTTCAAGAGAAAAAGAAAACTCCTGAAATAATCCATTTTCATTGAGATTAATACAATACCAATAACAGAATATTTAGAGATTTTATATCTCCTTTATCAAAAATTCAAATGTTTTGGCTTTTTATTAAGTACCATGTTACCTAATTACCTGGGTTTTTCACTTAAAGTTATTGCCCAACAGTCTGGATAAGTCAATTCATCTTCAACTATGGGGATACAATTTGTTATATCTAATGAAACCCAACTAAAAGAATTTGTATTGAAGTATATCTTGACTTTGAAATGAAAAGGTTGTTTTTGCACATACAGATACAAATCTATGAAACAAAGTGTTTGCCATGTAGAAACATTTTGGTCATGAAAATAATCAGTTACCCAAGTGTTAACGACAGCTAATATTATAATACCTTGAGCGTTATATTCATTATCTGAATCATCCCTTTATAAGATCATAAACTGAAGCTTGCCCACTCACATAGCCAGGTAAATATTGGTGCCAAAATTAGAGTCAAGTTCTGATGATATAGCCCCAGTTGGTTTTTTGTTTTTTTAAACCTGTTATAACTATTTTGGGGGATATTTTGGTTTCTGTAGCTAGAATATGTAATTTGTGGATTGTGTTCTAGATATGGGCAAATACTATGTCATAAAATCAAAACTACAATAGAAGCCTCTAATAATAATTTAAAATAACAAAACTGTATTTTTAGTTCTAATTTCATGACCCTATTATATAAGCAATCCATGCTTTACATGATATTGCTGAGCCATAAATGATTGTGCAAGCTGAAACCATGCAAAACAAACTCATAACTAATGGAGAAAATCAATTGTTCTGCTTTTGTCTTGTCTTGTTTTGTTTTGCTTTTTTAAGTAAGCTCTATGTCCAATGCAGAGCTTGAACTCAGGACCCTATGATCAGGAATCTCCTGCTCTACCAACTGAGCTAGCCAGGTGCCCTTTGTTCTGTAATCCTTAAAAAATTTTTGTCAAAACATTAAAAACTCTCTTAATGTATAAAGAAATGAAAAAAATAGTAAAACTACTTAGTACACTGAAATCCAAAAAGTAGAAATGTATTTAAAGTTTTCCTTGTTAAAAAAAAAAACAAAAAAAAACTTTGAAATAAAAATTTAATCCTCCCCCAAAAAACTAGGGAAATTAACTTTATATTTTACAGAATATCAGAGACATCCAAGCTTTTGAAACAAAAATTTAAATGGTGCCTACACCCCCCAAAAAACTTACCAAGAACAGTTCCATCTTCCCTTTTTCTCATCATATAATTTATGAAACAAGAATCTTTTCTATGCCTGTCCTACTCCTAAGTTTGGGTCAGCTTTCAACACTCTATCCTTTGCACTTTCACTGTCTGAAAATATCTCTGATAGTACCTTTAAGTGTGCTCATGTCACACACTTGCTCTAGGACATTTTTATCCTTTTTTCTAACAACTTTTTTTTAATTTTTGTAACAACTTTTTTTTTGATTCATGTTGATGCATTCTCCTTCACCAAATTGCTTTGGCTGCATATCTAAATCCCTTCAAATGACATCAATGTCAACATTGTCACATTCAACAATTTCTTCTGTAACTCCATTTGTGTCTGATTCAAATTTCATTTCCAATATTGCCACGTTTTGCTTCTCTGCTACTTGTTCTTTCCTTCCTTCTTTTCCTTTTTCCTTCCTTTCTTCATTCTGTCTTCCTTCCTTCCCCATTTCCTTTTTTGGACTATTTTGGTAAAACATCATGTGGGTTTACCACTGGGAGACAAGAAAACAAGACAACACAACTACACTTTGCTGTCTGTGAATGAATTGAATAATAGATACACTATGACCAATCACTGAAAGACTTTGAAAGAAGTGATGTTGATTGGTCACTGGTCATGTTATTATGTGGTGATTTTGTAGATTGAAGCAGCAAAGTTTATACTTTACACATTGCTCACAGTTAATGTACTGTGTTTGGAGGGACTGGTGTTTTAACTAACCATGATCACTGAAATTCATGCATATTAGAACCATAAGTGAGGACTATCTATATATGATAGTAATATGAAGGATATCATACCACAAAGAATCATAAAAATACTACTCTACTGGGGTTCCTGGGTGGCACAATTGGTTCAGTGTCTGGTCCTTGGTTTTGGCTCAGTTTGTGATTTCAGGGTCATGAGATCAAACCCTGCATAGGGTTCCCACTCAGCGCATAGTCTGCTTAAGGCTCTCTCTCCCTCTTCCTCCCCCCACCCCTACTTGCTCACTCACTCTTCTCTAAAATAGATAAATAAATCTTTTTTTAAAAAATAAAGTTTGGCAATATCTCAATCTATTAAAAAACTACCATACTATATTACAAATTTATAGATAGGTATAGATCTCCTAGAGTATTATGCTGGTGTTATATTATTTGTAGTTTAATAATTGTTATTTATCATGTTAATATAATGATAATTTTACTTATCTCCTAGGAATTTAGAAGTTTGGAGGGATGTAATGTATGATCCAGGAAAATTTAAAAGTTCAAATTGATAAATTCTTTTAGATATAAAAACATTCAAAATCAATCCATTATCTTTAAAACAGGTCTCGGGATCCCTGGGTGGCGCAGCGGTTTGGCGCCTGCCTTTGGCCCAGGGCGCGGTCCTGGAGACCCGGGATCGAATCCCACGTCGGGCTCCCGGTGCATGGAGCCTGCTTCTCCCTCTGCCTGTGTCTCTGCGCCTCTCTCTCTCTCTCTCTCTCTCTCTCTCTCTCTCTGTGACTATCATAAATAAATAAAAATTAAAAAAAAATTTAAAAAAAAAAATAAAAAATAAAATAAAACAGGTCTCAATATTATTTGCTTACTGAAAAACACATCTATGTTATAAGCATGTAAAGACTTTTTTTTAAAAGATTTTATTTGTTTATTTGAGGGAGAGAGAGAGAGAGCATGAGCAGGGGGAGGGACAGTGGGAGAGGGAGAAGCAGGCTCCCTGCTCAGCAGGGAGCCCGACATGAGGCTTGATCCCAGGACCCTGAGACCATGACATGAGCTGAAGGCAGACACTTAGCTGACTGAACCACCCAGGTCGTCAGCATGTAAAAACTTTTAATTCATAATGATTCATAATGATTATAGAGGGACAGAAGGTGTTTTTTTATTTTTTATTTTTTTAAGATTTATTTATCTATTTATGATAGAGAGAGAGACAGGTAGAGGGAGAAGCAGGCTCCATGCTGGGAGCCCGATGTGGGACTCGATCCCGGGACTCCAGGATCACGCCCTGGGCCAAAGGCAGGCGCCAAACCACTGAGCCACCCAGAGATCCCCTGAAGGTGGTTTTTTAAATTCTCCTATCATAATTTCTTATATATTTATATTTAATGACACAATATTTCATATTGAGACCGTATATTTATTCATTTATATTTATTTAAATAAATTGCTAATTTTTAAAATTCCTACTTGGGCTGAAGGAATGGAAACAATTTTTAAATTGTTCTTTTAACTCTAAAACTCTGTTCTCTAACTTTTATATTAAAAGCTATCAGGACACCTGGGTGGCTCAGTGGTTGAGTATCTGCCTTCAGCGTAAGGCATGATCCTGGAGTCCTGGGATCAAGTCCTGCATCGGGCTCCCTGTGGGAGCCTGCTTCTCCCTCTGCCTATGTCTCTGCCTGTCTCTCTGTGTCTCTCATGAATAAATAATTAAAATCTTAAAAAAATTAAAATAAAAGCTATCAAGTGTTTTCCATGTCTATTTTGGGGATTAAATGCTAATTTTTTAAGGGGATGATTAAGGTTCCCAGCATTCTTTTGTAAGTTAAAACCTTAGGTGTTAAATCTGATTTGGGGTTGAGCTCTCAGAAGGAAAGGATGATTGATTATAGCCACCTGACAACAGGTTCCCACATGAGCTAAGGAACAGATATACCCTAAGGCTCTCAAAATACAGGGCCAAGTACTATCTCTTGACATCTTGTTATGTTTTCTACAAGGTGTTAAAAGATAAAAATAAGATTGTTTGAATAACATTCAAGTTTCATGAGTGTATGCATATACTGCATGAGAATTTGGATGAGTAAATATGCATAGCATAATTCTTTTAAAGTAATAAACTTTTAACTGATTGACTTACCAGAACTGCTGAAATAAGAAAACACACTCCAATTTAATTTGAAATAATGAGGACATTGGCTCTGCTGCAGTTTTTTTAAATGTATACATGCCTGACTCTGAATGGATCAAGTACATCGTTGGCATTGCATTGAAGTCATTCAGAGACCTTTTTTTTTTTTGCCATTACAGGTAGAGCGGGAAAAGGCCATTCTTCTGGCCAATCTCCAGGAATCACAAACACAGCTGGAACATACCAAGGGAGCACTGACAGAGCAGCATGAACGGGTGCACCGGCTCACAGAACATGTTAATGCCATGAGAGGCCTACAGAGCAGCAAAGAACTCAAGGCTGAGCTGGATGGGGAGAAGGGACGGGACTCAGGGGAGGAGGCCCATGACTACGAAGTGGACATCAATGGCTTAGAGATCCTTGAATGCAAATATAGGGTGGCAGTAACTGAGGTGATTGACTTGAAAGCTGAAATTAAGGCCTTAAAGGAGAAATATAATAAATCTGTAGAAAACTATACTGAAGAGAAAGCCAAGTATGAGAGTAAGATCCAAATGTATGATGAGCAGGTTACAAGTCTTGAGAAGACCACCAAGGAGAGTGGAGAGAAGATGGCACACATGGAGAAGGAATTACAAAAGATGACCAGCATAGCCAACGAAAATCACAATACCCTTAATACAGCCCAGGATGAGTTGGTGACATTTAGTGAAGAGCTAGCCCAGCTTTACCACCATGTATGTCTGTGTAATAATGAAACCCCCAACAGGGTCATGCTGGACTACTATAGGCAAAGCAGAGTCACTCGTAGTGGCAGCCTGAAAGGGCCTGATGATCCCAGGGGACTTTTGTCTCCACGATTAGCCAGGAGGGGTGTGTCATCCCCAGTAGAAACAAGGACCTCACCTGAACCAGTTTCAAAAGAAAACACAGAGGCCAGCAAAGAGCCAAGTCCAACCAAGACCCCCACAATCTCTCCTGTTATTACTGCCCCACCATCATCTCCAGTATTAGATACAAGTGACATCCGCAAAGAGCCAATGAATATCTACAACCTTAATGCCATAATCCGGGACCAAATCAAGCATCTGCAGAAAGCTGTGGACCGGTCCTTGCAACTGTCTCGTCAAAGAGCAGCCGCACGGGAGCTGGCCCCCATGATCGATAAAGACAAGGAAGCCTTAATGGAAGAGATCCTCAAGCTCAAGTCCCTGCTGAGCACCAAACGGGAGCAGATCGCCACACTGAGGGCAGTGCTGAAAGCCAACAAACAGGTGATCTCATTCTACTGGCAATGCATGCTAGCCAACACTCTCTTAACTAGTTAATTCTTTAATGTTTTTGAGTGTCTGTTATCATCAGAATGAGAGTTCAGATTCCTGGTCAGCAGAGGAATAAATCAAACTACGTCCCAGTGGCAGGATCTAAGGAGAAGATCCAGTTACAGATGTAGAAAGGCAATGCAGGCAGTACCTAGCTAGAGTCCAGCAGTCACTGGGTGGGGAAATAAGAGATGCAGGGATGGCAGAAGAGGCTGGCACAGTGGCTTACACCACGGGAACACCCTGGAAAGTGGCCAGAGCAAACAGAGGTCTAGGGAGAGACAGAGATAGAATATTCACTAGCTCTGCCAGTGACCACATATCTGAAATTTAGGTTCAATTGGGATATTAATTCACCTAGGTCAGTACTGAAGCAATAGAAAATTTTTTCCTAACAATAGATCTTATCCTTCTGGAATCAGCAGGAATGCTACAACATGACCCTACCTGACTAATTCCTAGATCTCCTTCATGTCTGATTTTGTTTTCCACCCTTGAGCATTTGCCGGATAGGAGTGCTATGAAATATAGGTGGGAAAATATTTTCAATTTCTGTTTAGGTTCTCTGCAAAGTAAACCATGGAAGATATATTTGAGAAGGGTACTAAGAAAGAGTGTTGTTAAAGAGAAACAACAAAGCATCCATTACCCTCTTGCAAATGTAAGCAGTGCTAGTGTTGGGGAATAATTTCAGATGCAATGCTTCTTTTTCTTCTGCCCTTATTTTGGGGGAAGAGCCCATGCCCTTTCTGGCATCCTCATCTTCAGTCCCCATAAATCCGCTGATGTAACTGGGAGGTCTGCCCCACAGACAGTGATATTATTTGTACTATAAATATGTTTTGTATTAATCCAAGGGCAAATTAGGACCATTTGTGCCATCAGTTCAGGGAAATAGCAAAAGATTAGAACGAATAAAGAATTTGTGGGAGATCTGACTCCAATTTGAGGTCAGAGTGAAAGAATGTGTTACCATAAACTGCTACAATCCAAAGACCCAGTGACTCAAAGTGGTCATAAATAAGCAATACCATATTACTGATACCATATTAGATAAGGCTTAGACAGCCTTTATCAAAGACATAATATCCTGGGCATTCTTGGTCAAGCCATTCAAATAACATCTTTGACTTCTTCTTGCAGATTGAATATTAACAACTTAGATCTATAAGTATCAAGATGCTTAATTGATACAGAAGTATAGATAAGGATGGTTGATAAGCCACAGAAGACTAATTTATGAACAAGCATTCATTGATTACATATTTCAAGGCAGGTACTAATAGGGATGTAAAAGTAAGTGACCAAGTAATCTAGTAGGAGTTCAACACATGCCCGTAACTATTCACAGGGTAGGACATAACATCAAGTGGTATAAATAGTACTATTGGAATTCAGGGCAATACCAGAATACAAGACATTCCTGGCTAAATTTTTATTTTCTCAGTGGTTTGTGGTACCATTTGCATTACATTAGCATCACAACCCTTATGGTCTCAGTAAATAAAATGAAAACACATTTCTAGCCATGCATTTAGTTTACATTTTAATGATGTTGGGCCTACTGCTATGATGCTTATGTGCCATGAATAACTTCAGATGTCTGCAGATGACATCCATTATATTTAGACATTGCGAAATGTTCACTATTAAGACTAAGGTAAGAATTTTGTCGTAAGGGGAAAAAGGGGAATCTTCCTGATTTAAAAATAGACATTCTGCATTCTCTATCAATCTTTAAATATACTTTAGGGGGTTTTGTATGCACATTGTCTTCTGCTGAAATATGCAATGTTTATGAAATACCATCTGTGGGCTAAACTGTGCAAGATGCTGAACATTTGATGACGACTAATACACAATCCCTGCCTTCTAGACTAGGACTCACAAACTAGTGAGGCTGTTGGGAAAGAGACAGATCATGACAGTGCAATGCTATACATCCTGCGATAGAAGCTATGGAAACATTGCCAAGGAGGGGATTAATGTTTCCTAATGGAGTTAGCAAAAAAACTTCATGGAAGCAATTATACTTGAGTTTGTTCTTAAAGGATAAAGACATGTTTTCCAGGAGAGGAAGAAAAAAATTCTAGACGGGAAGAATAGTAGATAGAGAACCATAGGATAGAATGATACACTCGGGAAATGGTTGTGAAGATCTCTGTGTCTGGAAACAAGATTTTTTATTTAGAAAGTCAATTTTGGGAGCATAGATAATGTAGTGAATGCAGACATCACCAAATCTATTCAAGGGTTGTAGATACTTAGAATTTCTTACTTCTAAGAAAGCTTTGTACAGTCTGTGGACAAGAAAACAAAACAAAACAAAAACTCTGCACACAAAACTGAGTCTTTTGGGGAATTTCTTACAAGGAATAAATTAGTTTGTATGTCCATTACAGATCTTGCTCTTTTGTCATCCTCTCCTCTCTAATCCTTAGATGACTAACCATGTGGCTCCACCTGCTTACAAATTTGTACATTGACATTTTCATAACTTAAACTTAACGGTCTGTCCTAAGTGAATATGTGTATAAATTTTTTAAAAATTCAACAACTGCCATTTTCCCCCTGGTCAATTTCTGCATTCTTGGTAATTTTCTGAATCCGTAATATTTCTGAAGATTCCACTAAGCTATAGCACTACTGAACATACTAAAATATTTTATGAGTAAATTATCATTTTAATCTGAATCTGAAATTCAATTAAAACTCATAAGAAACTACTCTGGAATCAAAACATTAACAAACTACCCTATCCCAACATTGTTTTAATTTTAAAAAGAATCCATTTATTGCTATAGAGGTTGGCACTTGGCATAGGAAAGTCCTGGCTATCCATTTCAAGCACAAAAGGAAATGTTAAAAACCAGAATTGTTGGGCAGCCCGGGTGGCGCAGCGGTTTGGCGCCGCCTGCAGCCTGGGGTGTGATCTTGGAGACCCGGGATCGAGTCCCACATCGGGCTTCCTGCATGGAGCCTGCTTCTCCCTTTGCCTGTGTCTCTGCCTCTCTCTCTCTGTGTCTATGAATAAATAAATAAAATCTTAAAAAACAAAAAACAAAAAACAATGTCTTCCTAGGGAATCTCATTAGTAATGGATTTTTTTTCATTAGTAATGAACTTTTTCATTAGTATTGAGTATTTTTACATACTCTGAAAGGCTGTGATTAACAGTTTGTAAAAAAAAAAAAGGGGGGGGGGATGCTTCCAGTTTGGCTTCAATATCTATACCATCTGCTATGCATCAAACAGACATTCCCTAAGTATACATTGATTTTGTACATTGATTTAGTCAACATTTTTCTTTCTTCCTACTATGTGTCAGGCTAGTTCTCAATTTTAAACACTGTTAATTCCACAAGATTCGGAAATGCCTAAATCCCAAGTTCAAACAAATATTTTAATTCATTCAACATTTTGGAATTTCTACTTTTATGGAGATTGTGAAGAATTAAATTAGCCTATAATTTTTTGTTTTGAAGTTGTAGGCAAAGACAGGAAGCAATCTGTTCTTTGTTAATTCTTTTCCTTAAATATGTAGTGTAGATTTACAGTTTGTCAGATACCCATGCTATAAATTGCAATGGCCTTGTGTCTTTTAGGTCTGCAGAGCACAGGTGACACAAGAATATTTGCATTCTTTTGTATTTCAGTTGGAAGCTCCGCTTCTTTACTTTCTTCTCCTTGATGAAATCCTTCTTGTATTAAGTTTCATTTCAGCTCCCTTTCTGTCTGAAAAATCACACACTTTCAAGAATCTGCATTAACTATTTCCTCAACTACTATCATTTCCTTAACTCCTGTTACTGACTTTGGTTTACAGGTCGCTTCCAGGGTAATTTAACCACGTTATGGATTTTTTTAAAAAACTGCCCTATACCCAAGTACATAGATATGTTTAGATAAAATGTAACTAAATCAATTTCACTTTCCATTTATGAAAGAAAGTAATAGACCCATCATGGACAAATCTGTATGATCTGTTTTCCTGATATGAAAATCATAAGTATTGTGATTTTTCTGCTTCAGACAGCTGAGGTGGCACTAGCTAACCTCAAGAACAAATATGAAAATGAGAAAGCAATGGTGACCGAAACTATGACGAAGCTTAGGAATGAACTGAAGGCTTTGAAAGAAGATGCAGCAACTTTCTCATCCCTGAGAGCAATGTTTGCAACAAGGTAAAAGTTTCTTCTTCCAAGACTTTAAAATTCACATGGGTCTCTTGAGTGTTGTTTGATGTGTAGTCCAAGAGGATAAGGTATGAAGAAACCATTTGAGATTGTACTCTGACAAAGCGAAGACAAATGTTTTGTGCTGTTTTCCAGAGCCCTCTACTGGACACACTGGATCAAGCAATTCTTTTACATATAAGTGCTTTAAAATTAATGTAATAGATATTTTTTTCTAGATCTGATGTGCCCAAAAGAATTAGATAAGGGGAGAGAAATGTACTTCCCCAAAAGCCTCCGATAAGGGGAGAGAAATGTACTTACTAAAATAGCTAGGTATTATATTATCACCACTGAAATTTATCTCTGTGACTAAAGGACATAAAGATACTTCTCATTAGTATTGTATGAGAAAGACACCCTCATTATGAATATCAATATTCACTGTATCAGCTAATTACTTGTACTAATGTACCATGAATTAATAAATTATAATTATTAAAATGTAATTGTATATATCACCACATTTTTCACATTGCCCAGCTAATTAATTGGACAAATATTAGGGACTACTTTCCCCTACCAGTTTCATTATCACAGTACAGCGGTACTGTACTTCGTTTTTAAACTTGAAGTGATTAAGCATGTATTGATTCAAAGGTTTCAAAATCCCAAGATTTTCTTTTCCTTTTTTTTTTTTTTTTTGACAAGACCTGTATTTACTTCTTTATTTTTAGAGAGAGAGAATGAGAAAGCAAGAGAGTGCGTATGGAAGGGAGGGGCAGAAGGAAAGGGAGAATCAAGCAGGCTCCATGCTCAGTGTGGAGCCCAAACTCCGCACTCAGTCATGGTCATGAGATCATGACCTGAGCCAAAATCAGCAGTCCATGCTTAACCAGACTGAGCCACCCAGGTGCCCCACTAAAAGCATGAGATTCTCAAAGATGTTGCCATCCTTTTTTTTGCTGTCAAAATTCAGTACCAAAACAAAAGCAGTCATATATCTTCTATGATACAAATGTGGTACAAAATTCACAAAGCATAACTAAGGCTTTATTTGTAGATTCAGTAAATAATCTATATGTAGCTGATATAAATGTTAAAAAAAGCCTGGGTTTTATAAGAGCCCTGGAGTTTGTCCAGCTTCTTTGTGTATCAGGAGAGAAAAGTTTCAAGCTCACATTTTGTGATTGACTCTGTTAGTGATGATAATATACATTATTTATATATATATATATATATATATATATATATATATATATATATTCCTCTTTTAAAAAGAAATCACAGGGCAGCCTGAGTGGCTCAGCAGTTTAGCGCCGCCTTCAGCCCAGGTCGTGATCCTGGGGACCCGGGATCGAGTCCCACGTTGGCTCCCTGCGTGGAGCCTGCTTCTCCCTCTGCCTGTGTCTCTGCCTCTCTCTCTCAATCCTCTCTGTGTGTTCTTATGAATAAATAAATAAAATCTTATAAAATAAAAATAAAAAGAAATCACAACTTTTTAAAGGGACATTTACAGTCTCAGTCTGGTTTGTAGAAGAATTATTTCTCCCAAATAGTACATTTTCACATTATTTATCTTTTTATGTATAACTGCCCTTCTCCATAATATTTTTTAAAGTATTGTTATCTGAGCAATTAAAGTAAGTCCAGGGTCCTGAAATCCACCTTCTATTTTACTAGGACTCAATCTTTCTTATGGTATTCCTACTATGCTTCTTGACATTTAAGGTTAAAGAAAGTGGGACCCACCTGGATCTCAAGTTCTCTCACTAGAGTGTTTTTATTTTAAAATGCTGCAAGGCTTGTGTTAATTTCAAAGTTTGTATAGTACATTTTAGATACCTCCACCAAATCATTAACTCTCAGCTGGTGCATGAAGAGTATTTGTTGTTATCTTAGTAGTAGGTAAGTAAACTCAGAAAAAAAGTCTCTGAATAATTGTCTGATTAATTCTTCCTTCCAAATGTTTATGTGCATAGGTTTTACTTTTGACAGGGAAAAAAAGATCACTGAGCTTATCTTTCTGCTATAGCATGAGCATCAAAGCCGAATAAAGATATTCCTAACAGCCTGCTATATCTGTATCAAACCCTAAGAAAATCATGGTTTTCTTTGACATCTTTGCTTTATCATCTGGTTGAGAAACCTTTGAAAATATTCAAGTTTCTAATTCAGGCAAATCTGCCATATTGAAAGCAATGCAGCTGCAATCTGTACTCAAAATCCATAAATAGAGATGAAGAAGGAAATTTTTTTTATAAACATGGTTATTCTTTTGCATCCTACAGCCTGGTCTATAACAAACTCGTCACATCCCTCCAAAGACTACAATGTTACACAGTAGAAGAAGCTGCTATAACACATCTGGCACGCTGTGAATATTGCCTGAGACTTTACTGTTCATTCTCCTGACACCAGGGGCAACCTCCACAATAACTCTGTCCTTGCGGTTTAAGATGTTGCTTCTTATAAGTGTCCATATACACTCCATTGTATAGATGAACCATCAGTTATTGCACCTGCTTTATCATTTCCAGTTCTCCACTGTGATAGGTTCCCTCCATTCCGCTCTGGGAAGACCAGCGTTCTAAGTCTAAATTCCAGTCCAATTTATTATTCCCCAACTTAAGTTCGATGTATAATTTCACCAGGATTTTCTCCTGACCACTTTTTGTTTGGGTTCTAGATGTGATGAATATGTCACACAGTTGGATGAGATGCAGAGACAGTTAGCAGCCGCAGAGGATGAGAAGAAGACTCTAAACACTTTGTTACGAATGGCTATCCAGCAAAAACTTGCCCTGACCCAGCGGCTGGAGGACTTAGAGTTTGACCACGAGCAGTCCCGACGCAGCAAAGGCAAACTTGGAAAGAGCAAGATCGGCAGCCCTAAAGTAAGTGGGGAGGCGTCAGTCACCGTGCCCACCATAGACACTTACCTCCTGCATAGGCAGGGCCCACAGACACCCACCATTCGGGTCAGCAGTGGCACTCAGAGGAAAAGGTATGCATGCAGCGATCTTCATAGTATGGTGCAGAGGCCAGATTTTTAGCTAACTGCAAAAATTAATGTGCTTTTATCATGGAGGATGGAGGAAGGGAAGGAAGACACACAAACTGGGAGTGGCTATCTAAACGGGTCTCCTCGCTAATGTTGGTTTTTCCAAATCAAATCTTTTTTGATGATTGTGTGGATTTATTCCTTTCTGTCCCCCATGCCCCCACCTCTTGATTAACCGTAATATAATTTTTGAGTATCTGTCAACATGTTTGCTGTTCCTTGTATGCATAAATATGCCTCTCCCCTACCTCCAACCTAAAAATCGGTAGCTAGAAGGTGGATATTAAGAATGAAGCTACATCTTACGTGTTTTACATGACATTAAAAGTCATTGTACCTCTGGTAATGGTGCTATTTACCAGTTTCTCTTTAATGGGGCAAGGATGTGGGTATGTTCTCTTAGGGAAACTTTTTGTCTGTATTACCAAAACTGAAACCTGACTAGAAGGGGATGTCTATATTGAGGTAGAATGGAATGGAATGTGCGTAGTCCTTTTCTTAAAAGCAGTTTTTGTGCCTTTTCATTTGGTATTTGAATGTTGCTCAAAGAAATCATTTGCAAGGTTTTTAGTGGCTTGACCATTTTACAGAGTCCTGGATGTTGAATTACCCTGTATTTTCAGTTAATGGTAAAATTTTTATTTTAGGAGCTTTCAGTAAAGAATCAAATAATAGAAATATTTTCTACTTGCGGTGCAAACTGACTAACTATAATAAATTTCTTTTCCAGTATCCAATACAGTCTCCAAATAGGGTTGTATCCTGGTATGGAAACTAAGCAATTAGCAAAAATCTTGATTTACATGTTAAAAAAATTAAATGCCAATATAAATAATGTTGTCACTGGTGAGGCTTTGAAAGGTAATTAAAGTAAAACTTTTTTGTTTCCTATATGTATTTTCTTGGATCTCCTGCAAGACAATTTTCACCTTCCCTTTGTGATCAGAGCCGTCCCAGGACTTCAGGGGCTACCTACCTACAGAATTTATTAAGCGTTCCCCCTGGTCCCACCTCCACAGAATCATTTCTTCTGAAGGGCCCCCCTTCCATGAATGAATTCATCCAAGGGCACCGGCTCAGCAAGGAAAAAAGGTTAACCGTGGCTCCACCAGGTAAACATTTTTTCCTTGGGTGCATGTGATGCAAATGATTAGCTGAATAAACAACTCTCCCCTTCCTCCCAACCACTCATGCCCACCCATCTATGGAGTCAGACTTTGACGATGGTCAATTCCTGAAATACAAGACGCCTTTACACTTAGCGTCCTGTTTTCTCCTTCACTTGGCCAGACAAGCATTCCATAGGAGTTGCCAGGGGCTTCCTCTTAACAGCCAAGGACGGAAAATGAGAGTTGGAAGGAATGGGATAGGTCAAGGGAACCTAGCATCAGATGTAATGCAGAGCACACACCCAGGTCCTAATTGCAATTTGGTAGCTCATAGCAATTCCATCCTGATCAAATTTTGTCATTTTGTTCTGATCGTTTTTAAGGTAATTTCAGTAAAGGGAGCCATCTTTATAAAAGTTGCTAATCTCCTTTTGTAGTGACTCAGAATGTCTCCTCAATGATTATAGAGAAAATAGAAGAAAAATCCTCCCAAGGTTTTGCTCCTCAGGAACATTTACATCTTTCTGTGATATCCTTGTAGTCTGCAAGCCCTTATTGATTTATGCTTACCAGTATGCTCACATTTTATTTTTAGCTTCACCATTTTGCATTTTTCTTTCTCTTTTAAAAAAATTTTTTTCCAATGAAGAGCTTCAGCTGAAAATGTAACTTCTGGCAAATGGAGTTCAGCCTTTTGAGAAATCCCTGCATGCTAACTCTAGGTCAGAGGTAGCACACAGGAAGTCCATGAAATAAAATAAGCCCAAAGGCAGCATAACAGCTGGTTGTCACAAGAAATGAAAAAACTAATTCAAGTTAGTTGTCAACAGTTAGAAACGCAGAGATTTCACGTGAGCATCTATTTCTGGCCTCCCTTGAATAATTCTGAATATCTGGCAGCCCGAGGTCAGTGCTCATGCATGTCAATAACCTGTCAGAGCTCTGTTGAGTTTACTGCTTTTAAACAGGGCAAGCTTTGCAGTTTTCCACAGCCCCATCACTCCTGAGCACTGGTACCCAGATTGCTGCACTTGTCTTCTGAACCCTACTATAGTCTTTGAGTTTGCCACAGAATTTTGTTTTTTAATTCACCTTGATTTTATCGCCTACCTCATTTACTTTGGTTTTTACCTTAATTCCTTTTTGGAAACCTCAGCCTTTGGATCTCTCTAATACTTTCCTTATCTGATTCGTGAATCAGCTACTGATTGGGATTAAAAGGTGTGATGTGGAAATTTATAGCACATATTCTACATTCTAAGAATATTTGAGTAAATTAGTAGTGTTAATGAGTATAACAGCCAAAATGTACACCAAAAAGAAAAAGAAATAAAAGAAAAAAGCAACAACTCTACTGGACATTCTTACTTTCATAATTCATTATTATGACCTATTACTTCAGACTCCTTTGAAAAGTACCTTGAAGTATCTGTAAATCACCAAAGTGGTTATGATTCATTAGGACACCTAACTTCAATAAAACCCACCAGTTGTTTTAGTGTTCCAACTGGATTTAGTAGCACTATCTACTAGAACCTAGAAAAGAAATCCTGTGATTAGTAAGTAATCCTACTGTTTTTTAATTGAAAAGTGACATATCAATCAGACTAAAAATTAATAAACAGTAGCTATTTTTCATTTTGTATATGATCATTTGATCCTTATTTACATTAATATGTATTTATATCATTGTCATTACATTGTCAAAACCATTAAGATTATATTGTAAACTTTTCTGTGTTACTATCTTGTCCATTTTTATTTTTAAAGGATGTTGTATCATAAATTTTATTTCAGATGTTACCACATTAATCAGTACTTCTCTTGCTAACCACTGGGATAGTTATTCATTCTGTTATTTTATGCCGTGCTGTTAGAAATATCTTCATGCAGTCAACTTCTCATCGGTTCATTTTTTTCTTGAGCGAGATCACTGGGCTAAAATTATGAACATCTTTGTGTTTTGTGCTCCACTTTGATATTGTTGTCAAAGAGAGTATATCAGTGTACCAAAAGTCTTGCAAAACATTTTTCCTGTTTTTATACACTCTTAATCTTTCTACTACTTATTGCACATTGTACACATCTTAGAACTCTAAGGCTAGTTAGCATACATGAATGAGAGTACTATTATGTTGTCTTAAATTCTTTAGGTTTGAATATCTAGAAAATACCATTGGCCTTAGAAATTATTATTATATACAAGATTAGAGATACAAATAATATGGCATTCAGAATCATCACTAGGCCAATAAATCCTTATAATGACAATGTAGCATACTGATAAACCTTACATTTTTAACCATTTATTTGAAGTTAAAGTAACTACAGAGGGGAGGAAGTAAAGCTGTTATTACAGCCTAAGGAATTTTCAGTTATGTATCATAGGCCCAACCAGATTAGTTCTTAATAAATTTTTAGATCAACCAAGCAACATTTTCTAAAAAATTTTGGTTAAATCAATTACTATAGAAAGTAACTAATTACCTACACCCAACATACTATAACTTCTAAAAATATTTGTGTTATTGACAATATATATTATTTTTTATAGGCTGAACTGTATTGGGTAAGGCATATTAAATATTATTTATGATGCTTTTGCTGTATAAAATGTGTACAATAAGCCAAGAAAAGGAAAATATGCCATATATGTCCAGTCCTATATTCTCTACAAAAAATATCTTAAACCAATGGAAAAGAATAGATTTGTAAAGTATTTTTAATTCATGAATTTAATATGTTACTGATAATTATAAAGTTTACTAGCTAGTAACAATATATAGTCATCATTTAAAAGGACAATTCCCTGTTAATTTATTAGAATGTTTTCTGATTAAGTTTTCTAAAATGTATTCATAATATATCTTTGTAGATTATTATTATTCTAATAAGTGGGTTGTTTTCTATTGAGGAATATTGAAGTAATTAAATTAATTAAATCATTTCAGTAGAAATACAGAGTTAAATTTGGTTTGGATCCTTTTGTTGAGGAATTATGACAGATTTAAGTCTCACTTAAAAATTTAAAACACAATACACAAAATATTTACAATATGTAAGGGATATTTTCAAATAGATTTTATTTCTGTGAGATGCTCAGCAGAAAACTCCATCTTCTTAAGTCATAATTTCTCAATTTCAGAAGAATCAACTCTAGAATGGGGCATTGATTTTCAGAATTAATAGATTGTTTTGTATTAATTGATTTGCAACATTAATACAATCTTTTAGAGGAAAATTCTGGCCTTGGCTTCTGACTTAGACTGTTTCTGCTGCCTCATCCCCCCAAATTTCAGAGTTTCTGTCCTTAAAGCTTATTGGCTTTATTGTTGTTAACTTTGTCCTTATCTTGGCATACAAACTCCAGTGTTCTCGCCTATATGGCTACCAGCCTTGATAATTTGAGTCAAAAAGGACCCTGTTGTCATCAATGAGTTTACAATCAGGCAGCAGGTAGTATATCTTCATAAAACCATTGGTGGTTTTATATTATTTATAATATAAATGTCTGTTGTATATTATTTATATAATAATAATAATAAGAAGAAGAAGAAGAAGAAGAAGAAGAAGAAAAGAAGAAAATCTTACCATTTTATCAATAATTAAAATCAGCCTGCCAGAATATGTGAAAAAAGTCCATGTAATTTATAGGCAAGAGATGTTATTTCTATAAGGAAAGACTTGACCACATGATTTGTGCAGGTAAATTAGGTTTCTGAAT